AAACGCGATCTTCGATACCGGTGTAGAAAAATCCGTTACTGGCGAGTTGATATGGAGATTGATGGTGATGTTTAGACCACTTTTTGTAGGTATCCAGCCGGTTACAACATTTGATCAATGATGGATAACACGGTTGTATTACATTAGTGTTTATAGTATGTGGAGCGCTGTCTGTGACGTTGTCCATGAGTATTAACTTTCAACAATTGCACAGATTAATTGCAAACTCTCCGATACTGACAATATTCTTTTTAAAAGTTCTAGTGATATAGTTATTGTTTTTCCTTCTTCTTTTAAATAAACGCTTACCTTGTTTTTCAACTATTTAAAAGTGATTTATTTATGAAGTCCTAAATAGCAATCCACTTGGTAAGAAGATACGTTAGCGATTGAAATATCAGCGTTCTTGACGGTGTCAATGAGAGCTTTAGCCATGTGAGACAGGGATACGTCCCCTGATCATATCTCTGACTTATATAGTGTATGCTGGTGTGAGTAAGGTGTGAGTAAGGTGGGGGCAGGGTGGGAGCAGGGTGGGAGTAGTGTGTGAGTAGTGTGTGAGTATGGTGGGAGTAAGGTGGGAGCAGGGTGGGAGTAGTGTGGGAGTAGTGTGGGAGTAAGGTGGGAGCAGGGTGTGAGTAGTGTGTGAGTACGGTTGGAGTAAGGTGTGAGTAATGTGTGAGTAAGGTGTGAGTAGTGTGTGAGTAAGGTGTACGTAGTGTGTGAGTAGTGTGTGAGTAAGGTGTGTGAGTAATGTGTGAGTAAAGTGTGAGTACCAAGACCCCCAAAACTACCCTACTTTGTTACACTTTAATTAATTGTGCAGTATAATTAAGTTATTATCTGTAATTGAAAGATCGTTCAAGTAATGATATATTAATGCAGATAGGAAGATGATGAACAAGTCCAAACTCAATGTTCGTTACACGCCATCTCTTGTAGTTGTAGTCTTGTTAATATATATATATATATATATATGTACTGTTTGTCTGTGTGTGTGTCTGTTTTGTCTGTCTGTCTGTCTCATGTATATATGTATGTGTGTATGAGTATATATGTGGGTGTATTTGTATGTGTATTATGTTTTTTGTGTATACGTGCTATATGTTTATCCTTGTTTGTAATATTATGTTGTATATGGAATTTGTTAGGGTGTGAAAGAAGCATGTTTTGTGTTCTTGTCCTGTACTCTATTTGCAAACATTTTGTTTTCCCGTTGCCCTTCCTATTTATTTATTTATGGTTTGACTGATGAATGTTGAATGAGAACCCTCCTGCGTGAGGACACCATATTGTTCAGGGGCTGACTCCAGGACTCCCCAACCCTGGCATCCCCTATCAAAATATTTATATATGTATATATATATCTGCTTCGAAGCAGTATATGTATATACATATTTATGAAAAAAATGGCTGGGGGAATAAAATATTTGTACTGATTTTTTTATATATATATATATATCGGATGATCGCGAAAAAATACGGCGTCGGCCATTTAGTTTGTTTTTAAGAAGAAACAAGTGTACCGGGGGCAGAACAATATACGCCCGTCGAATGCCATATAGTGTTATATAGTTTCTTACATTGAAATAAGATCTGCATCATTCAAAGAGTGGTTAGCTGACATGCTATAAAAATGTAGGAGAAAATCTCCAGATAAAAAATCAAATACTGAAATGAACAAAGGGCAATAACTTTTGGAAAAATTGTCAAATCAAAATTCTTTTATTGGAGACACAACTTCATATCATGATTTTAATGTATACCAAGTTTCAAAGAGATCCGTTGAAAAATGTAGGAGGAGATTGCCGGACAAAAATCATATACTGAAATAAACAAAAGGCAATAACTTTTTCAAAAATTGTCGAATCAAAATTCTTTTCAAGGAAAAACAACTTCATATCATGATTATAATGTATACCAAGTTTCAAAGAAATCGGTTGAAAAATGTAGGAGGAGATTGCCGGACAAACAAAAGTTTACGCCGGACTGACGGACAACGCCATACCATAATGTTCCCGTCAAATTTGACGGGCGTATAAAAACGGGTAAACTGATATTAAATTTATAATTGCGATGTTGCCCTTTATGAAAATAGAGTCATGATCAATAAGGTTATGTGCAATCTGTATTAATGTTCATTATACGCTTTGGACAAAGTGATTTGAACTTTGACCTCCACTTGTGACCTTGTCCTTAGGGCGAGGTCTTGGAAACTGCCCATTGATTAGAACTTTGCTATAAATGACAGTATGGTCCAGTGATGTCGGACAATAATCATTATTGCGTTTGAACACAATTTGTTATATTGGTATCCCCGGAGAACGAAAGTCTATTGCGTACTGATAAGTAAAGCTGTTATAATGTTCGATAAGATGCATGCAAATATGTCTAAATCTAAAGTTTGGAATACATTTGAAAAGAAGTACAACTTTTTGATATTTGACGTCAACTGTTGACCTCGGCATTGGTGTGAGTAGTTCTGAAGATGTGTCCATGGAAAGTTTAGGCAGAGACATATATATGTCTGCTGTTGGCAAGTAAAATGCGATGCGATGTTGTGCAGTTGTCCATGAGTTTGAGTTTGTATTTTTTTATCAGTTAAAATATTATGCTACCAACCAGCGAAATTGATTTGAACTTTTATCTTCAACCGGTGACTTTGACCTCGAAATAAATGACATTTGATCATTCGAGGCTGATTGTTGGTAGCATAGACTTTGAATAACATTCCTTTGGGTATTTGACCGTATATTGACCATGAAGTGCGTTTTCAAAAATACCTTATGGTATATGTTCAACAAAAACTTACATGTTTATCATTTTTAATATATCTGATGTTGCCGTAATACATCGGATTGGAACTTCACTTCACAAGACTGACTTGTGTCTGGTGTAATCATACAAAGATAAGTACAGTCACATGACCAGTCAGTCGTTAAAGACCAGTGCACATATTCATGAAACGATGCTCAAACTCAAAAACTGTGCTCAAGCACAACTTCTTGTTCCGGTAATAACTCGTAAATCAATAAAATACACATTTTGTCAATGGTTAAAACGATTTGGAGGACAGTTGGAGACACTTGAAGCCGCCATCACGTTTTCAAAGTTTACTTGAATTTGTGACCGTGTTACATAATTTAGCATCCTCGATATCCACGGGTTACGCTCACTTTCGCTCTGTGCACCCCTGGAATTATGTCATAGCAAAATTGAAGGCTCGGTGTGCGCCACCTTGTTGATGAGACAAGAAGACTAGTTCGATCCTTTGATGTACATCAAAAGAATCTCGCGGACAGGTAACGGTAAAAAATGACAGGCTTTGAAGTTGGGCGTCTCTCCTTTGTAATCCTCAATTTTTTGTCCTTAATGGGAACTTAATGGGGTTTTTTCTGTATATAGAGGGGTACTTTGCAGTATAATAGAAAATGCTTTCTTCTGTGAATGCAAACTTCTTTGGCTGTCTCACGGTAGACAACAGCCTTTGTGGTATTCGACCTGTAACTAATATGTCACTTTCTTCCTTATCTAAGCTAGAAAGCACATCGGATTATCAAGCTCTAAGACAAAATCTGTACTGGTATTTGTACACTAGACCTTGACAATATCCAGTCCTTTCCTGTGCGTGTAAAAATTGAGGTGTTTGGTTGCTGTCAGAAGTTAGAATTTATCCTTTATTTCTGCACTAGGATTACCTCAAACAATAATTGTTCCAGACGAAATTCATGCAGGCTTCTGTACTTATAAACTTATTATAACAAGTTTTTTAATATAAAAGTATGCAAGTCGTGTGGTTAAAATGTTTACATTTGTCAGACCTTCCTTTCAAACCTGCAACTTACACATCTGATTATTAGTATTTCACGATTTAACAAATATGTTACCAAAGCTTGCATAAAACATAAAGTTACATACATATTATCAGTTTAAAATAATAATAACTACAGAAAATGAATATAAGTCATATAAAATAAATATTTAATAACTTTAAATATGATATAAAATGAATGGTGACTAACTTGGCGTAAGTGTTTGAAAGGGCGTAAGTGTTTGAAAGAGTTTAACACATATCTTAAATCATTCTACAATAATCTAGTATCAATACTATAACAGTAATTAGGAATCCATAATACCCTGATTATATACTAGTTGTATAATATACTTGTACAGGTAGTTTAAAAACTAAATTCACATTCTGCTAATGTGCTTGTGAAAAAATGGTGGAAAAAGTATGCAAAAAAATCAAAACTTCATATATCATAGTATTGTACATACATTTGCAGAAGTACCTTTAAATAAATCAACATCACATGTAGAAATGTAAAAAAATCAAAGCTTCAATATACAAATAGGAAAATAAAATTATGGTAAGTTCTTTCACACTTACAATATGGAAACACATGTACATGTATTCAAATGAAATTCCTACCACATTCTACACAATGTATTTAACATGTTTAAAAAATAGTTTCTTTGAGACAGAACTAACAAAAACTTCATTTGACAGTATGTCACCAAATTGCTGACATTGTCATTTTCATGCATGCCTAATATCATACGTATTTTGTCCTTATATAGTGTGTAAAGAAGCAGACAATGATGAAAATCTATTTAGTTCAAACATTTGTCAATTTCACTGACAAATGATTTATTTCTGTAACAGTTTAAATACCCCCACAAACGCTTTCCTGCAATATATATCTGCCTCCAAATTCTGATCATAGTCTATATTTATTTAATCATGATAAATAAGAATGTTTTTGATGTGACGTCACTCCAATGTTGTTGTGGATCTCCTTTCATCACTTTACCAAAATGTATCAATGCGGTTTTCGAAAAATATTAGATTTGGTGCTTGAATCACATTCTCAGGTAGGTAATTCCAGTTGCTAACTATTCCTTGAGTAAATGAGTATTTCCTAACGTCTAGTCTGTTCCTTGATTTATCCAGGCTGAGTGAATGTCCTCGAGAGTTTACGACGACGCAAGCTTTCCTCGTATGGAAATTCCATACACATGCTCCATACTCTAGATGGGGTCGAACTAAAGTAGGCAGAATGATTTATTATCCAAGTATGTATATGTTCTTCTAATGGCTCCAAGTTTTCAGTTTACTTTGTTCATGGCGGCTTGTATATGATTTCTAAAACTTAATTTATTGTCAACAATTATCCCAAGGCCTTTCTCTTACATTTCCTCAGTTAGCGTTACTGTTGTTCTCAGACCATCAACATCTTTGTATAAATGCAGATCATTTGCACATTTTTTCTTTCCCAAATACATTGTTTGCATTTGTCTGGGTGAAATTATAGCAACCATTTTGTCCGACCATTGTTGTAAATTGTCTAGATCCTGCTGAAGATCACCATTGACCCTGGTGTCTTTATACAATTTAGTATCATCGACAAAGAGTAGGGCGTTCGAATCAATGACATCTGGTAGGTCATTTATGTACAAAACAAACAATGATGGTCCAAGTACACTGCCTTGTATAACTGTTACTCTCGTTTGTCCTTTGGGAAACTGACAGCAGCGACTCCTGCCTTCTCAAGGAGGTCATTGATCGGCGTATGATCCAGTGAGTTTTCATCAATGTGGGCAAAGTGTACAACATCGCCTAAAAATAGAACAATAGCGCATGGCATATTTCAACATTCGAAGAAATACAAAGAGACCAACTATGCTGGCTAGGATATTTCAGTATTCTTTGGAGAGAACTGATATAGGCCCAGCTGTTGTTCAATCCCTTTCAAGTATCATCTTTGAATAGCATTTGTTGAAATGAAATCAAAGACACAACCTGTGTTAACAGACCACATTAAATTCTTTTGTAGTTATCTTAATTTTAACTGAACCTGTATTTAGAGACCACGCATGAAAATAGACCGCTTTATTGATTTCTCCAAGGTGGTCTCAGAATACAGGTTAGACTTGACATACAATAGCCTTTTGATTCAAGTACATACAATATACAGATCATATTCACATATGCTGAAAATATTTAGCAGTCAGAATCTTATGGAGACAGGAAGTGAGTCTATGAATTGATTTGTATATTTGTATATGTATGTATTGGTTTGTATATGTATGTATTGTTTTGTATATGTATGTATTGGTTTGTATATGTATGTATTGGGTTGTATATGTATGTATTGGTTTGTATGTGTATGTATTGGTTTGTATGTGTATGTATTGGTTTGTATATATATGTATTGGTTTGTATATGTATGTATTGGTTTGTATGTGTATGTATTGGTTTGTAT